AGAGGCGGGTGTGTGGAGATGGGGTCCTCACAGAGGCGGGTGTGTGGGGATGGGGATCCTCACAGAGGCGGGTGTGTGGGGATGGGGTCCTCACAGAGGCGGGTGTGTGGGGATGGGATTGTGTGGGGATGGGGTCCTCACAGAGGCGGGTGTGTAGGGAGGGGATCCTCTTGCACAGGGGATCCCAGACACTGTCAAGTCAGGACGAGAAGCAGAAGGAATTATCACTGCGCTGCTCCAAGGGACTAGAAGGACACCGAAGCTCAGACATGGGGTGTGGCTAAAACGGGGAACGAAATCGGTTTTCCACAGCAGGTTACCAATGGAAATCACATGAACTAACAGAATCACATGAAAAGATACTTTTTAAAAACTGCTAGAACTGAGCCTGAGACCCGAGGGAGTGTCTCCACAGAATGCAATTGTAGGTAAGGAGGACCAAGAGCCAGGCCGGGGCCTTTCCTTTTGTTATAGGTTCTTCCTTACCATTTAATTTCCTTTCAAACACATATTGTACTTTAATGCAAATTTTAAAAATTAAACCAATAGGACATTGGTGTTGATCATATATTTAAACAGATTTGTGGGATTTGTCATTTTGTGAACGATCCTGTGGCTGTTTTCATTCCTGGTCTCAAGGGTGGTGGATATCTGTGCTCAGTCTCCTGTCACACTCGTGTGTGTGTGTGTGTGTGTGTGTGTGTGTGTGTGTGTGAGTTTTCAGACTCAGTCTCTTGTCACACTCAGGGGGTGTGTGTGTGTGAGAGTGTGTGTGTTTGTGAGTTTTCAGACTCAGTCTCTTGTCACACTCAGGGTGTGTGTGTGTGTGTGTGTTTGCATGCGCGCGGGCGTGCTTAGTGTCTGACTCAGTCTTCTGTAGCAATCTTCATGAGCAGAAGTTCTTAGAGCATCCAGAAGGTGGCGGTGTAATCAACCAAATTCACACCTTTTGTGGAAAATACTGAAGCCCAGGCCTACAAACTGTAGTTCAGGAGCAACTTCGGTGCTGAGGGGCAAAGGAAGTCACACAGGGAGGCCAAGCACATGTGTCCTCTGGAGCCAGGGTTTCGTCTGGTATTTCAGGAACCCACAGTCCTTTGGGCTGGGCATAGGCAAAACCCAAAAGGCCTGATTCTTCTCCATCCCAGCTGCAATGATGGCCTCTCCAAACGTAGGCTCTGCGCCCAGGTACGAGGAATCTCTGCTCCATATGAGAACGCAAGGGTAGCTGCAAGGCCATCGTGACCCAAATACAATCACTCAGTGCTCACACTGACCTGAACCTGGCTCTGGCTTGGCTTTCCCTAAACCATTTTCTCGCCAGAGACATGATCAGTGCATCCTGGCACAGAAGTATGCACACTTATCTAGTGCCTTACTTTATTTAATACGTTTTGCACACATGCGTGCGCGCACACACACACACACACACACAGAGGCCAGAGGTCAACCACAGATGTCATTCCTCAGGCATTATCCACATTTTAAGTGAAAAACAGAGTTCTTAACTGGCCTGGAGCTCACCAAGTAGGCTAACCTGGCTAGCAGGTGGCCCTAGTGATCTGCCTGACCCTGATGGCCCAGTACTGGAGTCACAGGCAGGGGCCACCACATCCGGCTTTTCAAACGTGGGTTGAAGGGACTGAGCTCAGGTCCACATGCTTAGGCAGCAGGCCCTTCTCTAAGCCAGCTCCCCAATTCCTTCTGTGGAAGGTTGAGGACAACGTGCAGGCGTGAGTTTTCTCCTCCCTCCACGTGGATTCCAGGGATTGAACTCTGGAGGCCAAGCGTGGCAGCAAGCGCCTTTACCCACCAAAGCCATCTCTCTGGCCCACCTTGACTTCTTGAGTTGACGCCGTATCAGGTGCATTTCCCTATCACAACCACAGCTGTGCACAGCAGTGTTACAGGTGAATGGCATCTCGCTGTGTTGTCATTCGGCCCAGTCAGCAGTCTCTGGGCAGACTGACTACCGCACGGCCTACCGGAGCTCGCTTGGTTTCGCTGTGACTGTTTCGGCTGTGACAGCAGATGTGACTCTCTCTGAAAGTTCTCTCACAGGCCATGCCTCACAGGCTCTGTCGCAGCCGGTGACACTGTTGGGAAGAGTCTGACCCTGTCAGAGGTGGGTCCTACTGGGAGGAAGCTAGAGCCTAGAGGGGAGATGATGGGGACTCTGTCTGGTTTTCATTTCTCCAATTTTTGGCTTTTATGAGAGGATCATACCTCATCTGCCACTGGCTTCCACCTTAGTGTGCCGTGAAGTTGCCAAGCAATGCAAAAGTCTGGGACCACAAGAGCATGAACCATGAACCAGAGAGAAGTTTTCTTCTTTTAACTTGTTTATGTGTTTCTCAGAGTGACAGAACGCTAACACGGCTCTCAAAGTTTCAAAAGATTCAAATTTTATTCAGTCAGTTTCTAGGCAGAAAACTGCTGAATCAGGAGAGAGTAAGTGTTGGTAAGTATTTGCAAATATCACCACCTAGCACCCTGCCAGCAGTGAACTATGGGGTGCTAATCTCTCACCCCACCAAACACCAGCAGCAGACAATGGGGTACTAACCTCTCACCCCACCAAACACCAGCAGTGGACAATGGGGTGCTAACCTCTCCCTGCACCAAACACCAGACATTTTAACCTTTTTGGTTATTTGACAATCTCACAGGCAAAAATAATCTTTAAATTTGCATTTTCCTTTTCAACTCTGACAACAAGTTTCCTATTGCCCTCGGATGTCATTGTATTTTGTTTCCTGCTTGTGACCTTTGTCTTGTTTTTAGTGGACATCAACATTTGTGTTTCGACATTGACAGACTGTGCACACATATGCTCATGGGAGCCAGCGACCAGCTTTGTGGAGCTGGGTTTTCCTTCCACCTTTACGTGGGTCTCTGGGGTCAGACCCAGGTCATCAGGTTGCACAGTTGGCTCCCTCGGCTGCTGAGACACCTTGACGTACTTGGCTGACTATCCTTTCCCACGTGGCTTCTGTGTTCAGATCGTAAAGCCAGCGTTCCATTTGGTCGTGGTATGTGTCGAAAGGGAAAGTGTCTGCTGTGCCTGGATGACCACTTAGCTTTAATTTTGTTTACAATGATTCTGGTGCTTTCCTTTCTGTTGTTGTTGTTTAAATTTGATATGGGGTCTCTCCATGTAGTCC